CTATTCAGCCCATCCTGACTGCTGGTTTCCTGAAAGAGTTATCCATTTAGACCCATTATACACTGTCCCCAACTCATAGCATTAGGGATGTGGGCTCAAGCCCACATTGGGAGTTTGAGTTCATCGTCTCAGATATTTTTAAACTCGACTCATGTGCAACATAAAATAAAATTTAGTCGTAAGAACAAAACATTGAGGTAACTGGACTTTGTGAACACCCTGTAGCCCCAGACTATGATTATCTAACCCAGATTGGACAATCCTTGGCTGCTATTTATCTTTAGGTCCTGATAGTATTTTTTGACTAAATTGACACAGAGACCTTCTCTGGTTTGCTCTCCTCCATCTTCAGATGCCATCATAAAGCAGTACTGGAATATTTCCTGGTATTCTTCATAATGTTCCATTGTGTGCAAACTACCTTTGTTCTCTATTTCCGGAGTCCTTTTTTTTATTTAAAGTTCTCCCTGTGTTACTATGGCAATACTTAAACGGTGTCATCTGCACATTTTCTTTCACAGCAGCAATCCTTCATCCTTCCTCTCCTCTCGGGAGTCACTGACTTCCCCCTGAGTTTGGTTCTTACAGGAGATCTTTGCTTCTTCGCTTCAGGCTGGTAGATCGCAGAGAAGCTCCACTTGACAGTGAATAAATGTGAGGGACTTTGAGACATTTTGCCAAAGTGAGCGCTAAATAACATATTATTGATTTGTTATTCACAATGTCATTGGAGCAATACAATACAAAATTATATTTGTACAGCGCCTTTCACATCGGGGGGAATGTCCTGAGGCCCTGGACAGTTAGGAAGTGGGACCCGAGCAGGGGTTTGGGATCGGGGTGGGGGGTGAAGGGGAGGAAATGGGGAGGGCAGGGAGGGGCGGGAGGGCAGGGAGGACGGAGGACGGGAGGGATTGGGCAGGGAGTGGGGGGAGGGCAAGGAGGGGGGGAGGGCAAACAATAACAATTTGGACTTATATAGTGCCCTCCACTCAGGGTAGTGTCTCAGAGTGCTTAACAGTGGTGGAGCCTAACTCCGAGCTGGTGGTGGGGGGTGGGGGTTGGGGTGGGGGTGTGTGTGGCCGTAAGCACGTTTGAAGAGAAAAGTTTTCAGGCAGGATTTGAAAGAGGCAAGGTGAAGGGATTGAGGGAGAGTGTTCCAGAGTTTTGGGGTGCAGTGGCTGAAAGCGTGACCTCCAATGGTGGGGCAGAGGGTGCAAGGGACGAGGGCAGAGAGGGGGGAGGGCAGGGAGGGTAGGAGAGTGGCCGAGCATAGGTTCTTAAAGGGTGGAGTTTGGCACAGAATGGCAGCCCCTGGACACCTCAAACCCAACAGGTCTGGACCAGGCAACAAGGAACAACTGAGAAACCCCAGTTAAACTAAATAATCCTCCTCCTGTGACATTTGGTGTTGTGTGAATCCTCAGTAGAACACATTTAATGTTTAATGCAAAATTTTGATTTTCTTCCCGATCCACTTCACAATATATTCTGTGAAGCGCTTTGAGATGTCTCAATGATGCGATAAGCCGCTCTATCAAATGCAAGGGTTATTATTGTTATTATTTTGTTCTCCCCTCTTCTTGATAAAAAGGCTGGTGGGGTTAGTGAGATTCCAGGCTCGTAACTGCTCTGCTCTGTTTCCTTGCTCTTCTCCCCCCCCCCCCCCCCCCCCCCCGCCCCCCCCGCCCCCCCCCCCCTTCCTCAGGGCGGAATAACGAACTGAGAGGAAGAGATTAGATGATGGTTTTTAGAAATATACATACGACTGTGTTAAATGATTAAATGGGAAACATTTAAGGTTCTTTAGTTGTGTGGCTTTATTGTGGCCTCTGGTTGACTGAATGGGGGAAGATAGTTGAGTTGTGAGCCAGCCAGAACTGAACAGCATAGATGCAGAGTGATCTGATGTCGGATTGCTATGGCAACAAAGAGTTAGGCTGAGGCAGAAGGCAGCAGTCCAGTTGTTTTTACAGAATGTCACTTGGAAACAAATATCAGCACTTGAGAGCAGAATTAGAGGGCAATTCTGCTCTAAATATACCAGAAGGAGATTAGCCGTACCTTGTGTCTGATCTTAAGCCTCGGATTATATTGATTCCCTTGTGCGTTGTTCATGGGCCATGTCGTGTCTGCTCAAGGTACAAAGGTTTATTCAGCGATGATGTACAGTAGCAGAGTATTCAGTGAAATGTAGTTCCCTGAGTCCAGGTGGGCGGGCAGAGGAAGACCGAGAGGGTGGTAAGTCCAGAGGATATTGGTGGATAGACATCTGTGCAGAAGAGCAAAACCACCTCGGATGGAGATTCTGTGTTACAAATGCTACACCCACAGTAATCTCAACATGAGGAAACCATTCAGCCAGTAGGGTGCTTCCTTGGCTTTTTCCTAGATCCAAACTTCTAATGCTTTTTCCTTACCTTCCTCCATACCCTTTAATGCTCAATGCAATGCACGTTACAGAGACTCCTCCAGATCAAGGAATGGTAGATTGTTATGTAGTGTCAACCTGGCTCAGTGGCAGCGCTCTCACCTCTGAGTGAGAAGGTTGTGGGTTCACATAGTCTCAGCTAATACTCCAATACAGTGCTGGGCGTGTGTTACATTGCTGGACGAGACTTTAAACCAAGGTCCCATCTGCCTATTCTTGGGGATGTTAACGATCGATTCTGACTCCTCTTGAGACTGAAAGATGGAGTGTCTTGGATTCGAAACTAAGCATAAATTGCCACTTGACCTTTGTCATTCGCCATCAGCTTTAATCGGCTGCTCTCAGTCTCGCCCAGTTCCTCCTGCAGTCATTCACCCATCAGATACATCCCTACACAGCAACCATAAGAGCCTTGAATTTAAATTGAAACATTCGCTTTAAATTCAATTTGGTTTCAACAACAACAACTTGCACTTATATAGCACCCTCCACGCAGGGTAACGTCTCAGAAAAAGCATCTAGTTTTACAGTTGTTATGTCGTTAGCTTAACAGTCCATTCCAACTAGGCTACAGATGAACTGTAAATAATAGTAATCCTTGCATTTGATGTAGCGCCTTATCAAGTCATCAAGATGTCTCAAAGTGCTTCATAGGAAATACTGCAAATTGGTTTTGACTATTTTGTGGGTGAAATGCAACAGCCAGTCTGCCCTCAGCAACGTCCCACAAACAGCCATGAAGTGAGTGACCAATTTTATTTTGAGTGTTGGCCTGAACACTGCGAGAAACTTTCTTCCCTTCATACAGGCATACAACATTTTAATTAGGCCTGAAAAAGCAAAGTCAGGTCAATACTTTAAGATGTCAAGACAGTTGAGAAAGAGGACATTGATTTAGTAAAGAGGAATTTCAGGACAGAAACCAGAAAGTTGTATGCAGAGGGTAATCAACAACTGGGACAAGTTGCCAGGAAAGGTGGTTATAGACCAGTAATAGGCCTATGGATTGGAGGCTTGCAATCCTGCAGGTAAATTCTGTTGTGCATCTGAAAGAAATTGGCTAAGATGGTGTCAAGGCAGAGAAGACAATTTTTTTTGACAACATAAAATATGTTTGTTCTCTTCTTCTCCTTCAACCCCCCCTCACCCCCAAACCCCCACTCCCTACTCTAGCCTTGTAGCTGGCTGTTTGATCATTGTGTCTGCCTCTGCTGAGCTCTGTGTTTGTGGCTTGTGGCTTTAGCTGATCTAATCTGACACCTTGGTGTAATTCTCCAGTGATGGTGTGTGGAAGGATGGCTGTGTTGCAGAGCTGCTAATAGCTGCTGGACTCCTTGCAAAGATGGCCTGAATGCTCTGACCCAGAGTCCATGTGGGTGGTTTTCAGTGTTTTTTTGGCCAGCCTGGAGCTACACATCCTGCTTATCTAATTCCAGAAAGTATTAGGCACTGAGGCAAGAGCGTGGCAAGTGTGTGTGTTGGGGTGACTGCTGGAGTCTAACCAGCTAAAACCGCATAGCTTGCCATTGATATCGCTGTCTGGCAAGCTTTTCTGCTGCTTGTCCAGCTAGGACCACCCTAGGCTGAGCCAGGCTGGGCTGTACTGTCATCAGTAGTGCCCCGGTATACTGCAGACCCGCCTGGCTCAGGAACCAGACTCAAGAGACCACCACAGAGGGCTGGCTCAATTCTGACATTCCGTTGCCAGGCATGTCAACTTGGAGCCAGTTCAGCTCCCAAGTTGTTTCTGAGTGTTCCCAGCAAACGTTTTACTGCTGATGAGAACTGGGACCACAGGCCAACAGGCTTGTCTGCAGACTTATATCAACATATTCCATAGCAAAATTTTATTTACAGGATCTTACAGATGGCTGAACACGAGAAAGGCAGTTATACCGTATGTATTTATATATTCACTCTGCTCCCAATAAGGTTCGAAACTAAAGCATCTCTTTAACTGCAATGTGACTCCGTGGTTTGCTTTCTCTGTGTTGGAGACCCCAGAGTTCCTTGACACTGCTATCCTCAGAGTTCTGGGATTAGATTTTGTATAAAAGTTTAATAATGGACTATCTTTGCTGGTGTTTAACTTAAATATTGCAAACTTCGATGACTCGAGGTGTGATATGTTGACCCTTGTAGTTTGGTCCCAGTACCGGGGGTGAGAGGGGGAAGAGGAGCCCTTGTTTTGTGGAGTCCCATAGCATAGTGGTTAGCGCGCTCACCTCATAAGCGAGAGGTCCTGGGCTCAATTCCCAGGCAGGGCAAAACCTTAGGGACGTTTCCTTACTCCATACGCCTCTGTTTACATAGCAGTAAAAATAGGTCATTAGTCGATTGGCAGTAATATCCCCTAAAAAAAAATTAATTGCTCAATTCACGACTGTTTGTGGGTCACTGCTGCATTTCACCCACAAAATATACAGTCAATTCACTTTGCAATATACTCTGTGAGCTGTCTTGAAGATTTAATAAGGCGCTATATCAAATGCAAGGATTATTATTATTATTTTGCTACTTGTATGTGTTTTGTGCAGTAATATTTGTCTTTGTCTCATTTCTCTCACAGAATAAAGTGGTGGTGTTGGATGGGGTCAAGGTCAAGCTGCAGGTGAGTGTCTCAATTGGCAGCGAGAGGAGCTGGTGATCAAACACCCATCTCAAGAGATCATTTGTGGGTTTGCGTTGTTTCCAAGTCCCACGTGAGACTCGAGAGCAAGGGCTGACTTTTTAATTTTGATTAAGAGACTCGTCGCAAAGATCCTTGGAAGGAACAACTGGAAAGGTTCTATATCGTCTCAAACTTCCAAGAATTGCCGTAGTGCTATTCACAGTTGTCGGGCTTATTCCACATTTCCAGAGAGGAAACAAGATATTTTGAGGGGTAACAGCCTTGTGGAAGCAGATCAAGTGGGTCTCCATGTGTTTCAGTATACCTACAGCATTTTAGTGGCTAAGCCTTGAACCTCTGTGCCTCGCTCTCTTAACCTCAACTTCTCCGCCCCAAATTCTTTTGTCTTGCTCCTGGGCTCTCTGTTGTTAAAAAAAAGTTTCCCTTGATCATGCCTAGGGTCAACAGCCTTTAAATTATCTCTCCCCTTCTCTCTGTTGTCTGCTTCTTATCTCTGTAAAACACATGCATCCTAAATGGAAGCTGTGATGTAAGTGCTTGTTGTGTTCCTTAGTATGAAAACTGCATCTACTCTCATTGTAAAGGTTACATAACTCTTCCTCAGAAACGTACATAATTTGACAAAACGTGTTTACTCACAGGAGGATCACATCACAAGTCTTGGCTTACTCTAACTGTGGCTCCCTTGAGGGTGTCTGTCTCCTGCTGTCTGTCTGGATCTTAAGGAAAATCTTTTGCACAATATCCGCAGACATGTCATCTATCTCCGCTTCTCTTCAGCCTAGAGCACAAGGCTGCCTCCAGTCTTTTCAGGGTCTTGAGCTCGTAGACTAGGCTGACACTCCAGGGCAGTGTTGGGGAAAGCATTGCCCTTTCGGATGAGACATGAGCGGATGTTAAAGATCCTGTGACGCTTCTTGAGTATAGCAGGGAACTTCTCTTGGCCAACAATCCCCCAGGTTAATTGACCGTTCACCTCATGGCTGTTTGGAGGAGGTCTTGCTGTGTGCACCATAGCTGCCCAAATTTCCTGAGAAAAAAACCTGTCAAACACATGAACTCGAGCAGCTATAAAAATGCGAGTGTTTTTTCTCTCTTAAACCTTTAAAATGCTTCACGTCAAAAGTAGCGGAACCGATTTTTACAACGCTGTTTGATTTTGCTGATGCTGGGTCTTGAACCCACATGAGGCATCCTGCGAAGTTCAATGGTAGCGTAGCTTATTTTTTTGTTTCCAGTTGACTTTGTTCGAGGAATTTAAACAGAAAACTGCCCAAAGAATTTAAACAGAGAACTGCCCAAACCACCTTTAACTCAACCCAAGCCTATAAAGGCTTTTGTCTTAAAATTTAAAACAAAATTGCTCCATTGCTTTAGACAAAGTGGATTTTCAGGGGCTCTATTTATAATTTGCTCAGAAAACACGATCACTGCACTTTACAGTATATTCTGTGAAGTGCTTTGAAACAGCCTCACGATGTGAAACGTGCTGTTTCAAATGTTAGTGTAATTATCTTATAAATGTTTCCTGGAAATCGAGTTATTTCTCAACAAAATTTCAGTGACCCGCTGAACGTCGTTCTTTTGTGATGGGAATGTCACTACTCCCTTATATTGATGGAGCGCACAAACCCAAAGCAGGAAGTAAACAGAAACATCCTATCACAAGAAATCTTTCTGAAATGATACAAAACTCCGAATAGCCTGATCTCTTGGTTGAGAAGATGTGAAATGTACTTTCTTTCGTAGGATGTCACCTCAGTCTCTTGAAAGCTACAGAAATCTGGGTACAACAAAGGAGTATAGGAACAGGAAAAGGCCATTCACCATCTCAGACCTGTTCCGCCATTCTTTTAGAGGGGCTGAGTTGGCCATTCAGCCCATCGAGCCTGCACCACTTTTATTGGATCATAGCAGTTCTTCCATTATCTTTTATCTCTTTCAATGTAATACCTTACATCACAAATATCTAGTGAATTTTGTTGAAACCTTGCAACTAATTCTGCAAATTACTCCTTCTTGGGTTGTGGATTTCCTGTTCTCACAACCCTTTGTGTGGATGGAATGTCTTCTGGTTTTACTTCCTCATTTCCATTTCCCTTTCAATAATTCTTCCTCGTGGCTGCTCAACACCCTACTCAGCTAATCCTCTAATCTAATTTCTCCATTATTCTGTGAAATTCGAGACTAAGTAATTATTAACTAACTGTGATGTCCCCTCATTCTTTCTAGGTACAAGATGCTGCCAAATTACCTTCCATGGCCTCTTCTTACTGTTAATCTTCTTATAAAGGCTCTTACAATTACCTTCTCTCTTATCTGACAGAAGTTTTTAATATTCCCTCTTATGCTTTTGTACACTTCTGGTTTTCATTTGTGGTATGAGACCTACATTCATTCGAGGCGCTTTCCTCAAAATCTTAGTGTTAATCTAATTTCTCTGTTCATCCATCGAACTCTCTCCCTGTCGGAACCGCATTTAACCTGTAACCTCTTAAAAATCTTACACCGCTGATCCACATATTGTATCTGCCAATTTTCCATCCAATTAAACTGGGCTCGGTCCCAGTGTTATTTCACTGAAAATTGCTGTTTTATAGTTAAATGCTCTTAACCTGCACTTCTCTTTCCTCATCTATTTTTATATGTAACCTAATTGTGTTGTGCTCAGTCGCTGTTTCTTAAATATCCCTACCTTTTAGATTCCTTATATCTTTTTCTGCTTTGTTGACCAGAACTAAGTCAAGCTCTACTATGCCCTCCCCTTTAACGTCGGGAGGATGTCCTCCTGACGTGAAAGGCGCTATAGAAATGTAATCTTGTAGTTTTGTTGATACAAAACAGTGTGGATCGTTATGCACTTCAGCTGGGAACTTTGCTCTGTCCCGCTGTGCCAAAACTAAACCCTTTATGCAACTGATATTTCTGGTTTGACCAGAAGTAACAGCAGCATTTTAAGAGTTGAAAGTTATAGCCCTCCTTTTTAAAAATCTTCTGTCGTTTTCCTCACATCCTGAGTTCTTTCTTCTTCTTCTGGCTGAGGACAAAAGATTCCCTTAGTTAGAATGCCAAAGTCAATGGTTTATCTTGAAGTTGCTCAAACCATGGAAGAAAGTAACATAAAAGCCTTGATGCATTTGGTAAAGTCTTTACAACTTCCTGTACCTCTACCCAACTTTGTTCAGGATATAAATCAACAACAACTGCTTGTGTTTGCATAATGCCTTTTATGTTGGATGTCTTGGATTGCTTAACAGTGATAGGTTTGATGCCAAACAGGTTGAGAGAGGAGGAAGGGGGAGGTGAACCTAGGTACGATTGTAGAGGTAGATTTTAAGGCTGCACTTTAAGACAGAGATGGAGATGGTAAGATGGAGGGATAGAAGGAGGCAGTTGCAGATGTTAGGGGCACTTCAAGATTTTCTTCTGACATTAAAGGTGCCATACCAAATGCAAGGATTATTATCAACGGATGTAGCCTGGTACTGAGGTCAATTGAACTGTCTACACAATGTAGACTGTAATATATTAGCATGATGGAAATTTGCTGCAGATTTTACACATTTATTTGCTTATAGACAGATGGGGGCAAAGAGTAATTACTACAGTTCTGTTTCCCCAACCCTTGGGACGCAGACAAAAATTGAAATGCCACTCTTTTCTCCTCTCAGAACAGAACTGTTCTGACACTGTAAAATGACGCCTGTCACTCTACAAAATTCAAGCCCTCAGTTGTGCCGATGAGGACCCGCTATGGTGCAATACGTTGGGATCAGCTGTTTCACTAGATGCTGGGCAGGGTGGAAAATTGTGATCAGATGCGGTTGGCGCTGGTTGCTGCATCTCCGAGCAACGAGGCATTTGGTCTGTGTAGAACAGCTTTCACGTTGGGAGGACATCCCAAGATGCTGATACTCCCACAACACCACAGTTGCATCTGTCTGATATTCCCAACTTAAGCACAGTGATTGATTTAGCTGCACTTAGTTGTCAGTTTGGCGATAGTCCAGTGTGTTACTCTGGAAATGCTGCATTGTCTTTCAAGTGTGGGCATTTATTTGAAAACCATAGGGTCCCTGTTCTTTAGTTTGACTTGAAAGATCCTTTGAAAAAAGAGAAGGGAGTTTCTGTTTGTGGAACCTGGGGTGTGCAGAATGGCTGGCATGTTTGTGTGCGAAATAAGTATGTATTCAACAGTAATTACTGTAAAGTGCTTTGAAATGTTTTATTGTGATGAGGTGCTCTAAGAAATGTAACTTCTTTATGAGGTTGTCTTTTTTCCTCTTTTCTGTTTGCTCGAGGCCAGGCTATAAGTCTTTCAATTTAAAATCGGGATGTACATTCGAAACTAATGCAATTTTTTCCTACTTTCATTTCATTTGCAGATCTGGGACACTGCGGGGCAGGAACGCTTCCGCAGTGTGACGCACGCCTATTACAGAGACGCACAAGGTAGAACGGGGAGGAAGGGGCTCACTGTTTGTGTAATAAAGTGGGTAATAAGCCAGGGGTTGGCGAGGCTGGTCTCTGTGTTCCAATGGTTCCTATATTTGACGGCACTTGGGCTGTGCTGGGCCCGTTGAGATCTTAAGGAATGTTGGAACAGATCGAGATCTGTTTATCGAGCCAGTTCTGCAGTAATGCGGCAGACAGTACAAGTGAGCACTGAGCTCTCTTAAGGGCATCGGGCTCAGAGAATGTAACTGGTGGAGCTGGAGAAGGCAGCTCAGGAAACACTGATGTGAAGAGAAGGGAGATGTTGGAATATAAATGCTTCATTATATTATGCTCTGCGTCCGACTCTATACACCCCCCCACACCCCGGCCCAGAAAAATCCACATATTCACAAATCCACAGTACGCAAACAGGAGTATTTGGTTAAAATATTCACCATTACAGACAATGCTCATTGGTTCCTCACAGACACTTTGTCATAGTGTGATCTACACAGAAACCAACACCAACAACTTGCATTTATATAGCGCTCTCATGCTGGGTAGCGTCCCAGAGCGAACCAATTGGTCTCTGGGGATTGGCTCCAGGCTTGCCCCTCTCACACAATTCCTCTTGACTTGCTTTCCTGGCTAATCCCATTTCATCTACTCACCTCAAGAGAAATTAATCTCTACTCTTCACCCTCCGCCCTCTGAGCTTGATTATGTGTCCTCTTGATGTATTGTTTTTTGACAATATAAAACACATTATTAGAATTCGGCTTGCCTTTTGGAACTTGAATGCTTCAATAAACATCTCCCCTGAGCCTTGTCTTTTCCACTGTAGATGTTCCCATTTTCCACAGTCGCTCCACATAACTCAGGTCCTAATTCCATCTACTGCAGGGCCCCATTTTAAGGCATTAGACGGGGTCAATAAAACCCTTAACTGCCTTTATAACTAATCTGAGCTTGTTTCCCATGACTAAAAAAAAATAGATGACCTCCAGGTCAATGAATGGGAGCTACCCACTTTATCTGTCAGTGAAGCTGTGTTATAACAAACTGTGTTATAATAGAGTTCTCTCGCCTTCAAGTTAGAGCCAGGCCGTTTAAGAGTGAAATCAGGAAGCATTTTTTCACTCAAAGGGTGGTAGAAATCTGGAATTCTTTCCCCCAACAGGCCGTGGATGCTGGATCCATCCACACCTAAGAGTGAGGTTGATAGATTTTTGGTAAGTTAGGGTATCAAGGGATATGGGGAGAAAGCAGGAAATTGGAAATGACAGGATAAGTTGAGGTGCAGGTCAGCCACGATCTCACTTAATGGCAGAACAGGCTCGAAGGGCTGAATGGCCTACACCTGTTCATTTATTCCTATGTGATTAGTTTTATTATCCTGAATTTGTATTCATTGTGTTACCCTACCTCTACCAAATGTATTTTAAATTCTCGCTCTCCCTTCACAGCGCTCCTATTGCTATACGACATCACAAGCAAGACATCGTTTGACAACATTAGGGTAAGTTTTTGCTTGTCTCAAATTCTGATTTGATTCTGAGCTCACAAACACTGGATCCATCCAAATGATGAAACACCAAATTGTCCATTTTAAATATTAGTCTGGGTTGGAGAATACATATTTATGATAGTAATAATCCTTGCATTTGTTATAGCGCCTTATTACGTTGTTGAGATGTCTCAAAGCGCTTCACAGAGTATATGGTAAAGTGGATTGACTGTGTATTTTGTGGGTGAAACATGTATTTAGTTGACATTAATTGTTCCGAGGTTTAAACTTCCTTTCCACTTCCCTCAGCTGTGACACTGAATCTCTCAGCGATATTTCCAGCTTTATGTTCCCTTGAATCATCCTGGGATTTATCCCGTTTTTTAAAATTAGCAATTACAAGTGTTTTGTCCTAGACTTGATTTTGTGGGGTTACCAGAAGGTCTTAACCTGAATCATATGGTGCTCAGTGGTAAGTAGAGATTTCACGTCTTAAGGTGCTATATGAAATGCAAGGGTTATTATTTTAAGTTATGTCTGGAGTGACAGGGTCATATTTAATATTGAAATGGACTCGATTTCAAATTAGTTTATTTCATGAAACTAAAAGTACGTCAAAATGACTTGAGGGGACTCACTATAATGCGGTCTAGATTTCGTAGCAAAATTATTAACAATTACTGCCGTGTACAGCCGAGCCAGGTCACTTGGCCTTTTCATCAATAACTTTCCTTTGGAGTGGCGAGGGTGGGGCACGGGGAGGAGGTGGCTGAGAGGTTGTGGCCTCAATCATTGCTCTCTTGGATAAAGCAGACTTGTGAATCAACAATTCCCGAGGCCGGAGGCAATCAAACCGTCCAAATTCCAAAGGTCTGGTGTCTCCCCTGCTGATTGGCGCATCATTACACCTACCATGTGTGTAACCGGCAGAGACAAAGCTCTCCGATAGTTACCTGGTGACAGTAGCTTCCGTCTTGACCAGAGGAGCGTCACTTTGTTCAGCTCGGTAATGAGCTACTGTCCCGCGGCTTGTGCTGCCACTGCCCTTGTTCAGACGTCAGGTTGTGCTTCAGTGCCACCGTTTGATCCCAGTTACACGCGGCAGATTCCACTCCCTCAATGCGCAGCCAGCCTTGTGTATCCTATTGCACGATAGACGGAGCTCTGGCAACACACTGAAACTCTGCCTGTCTGGAGAAAGCTTCCTTAACACTCCTTCAAAAAATAATAATAAAAAGAATTTGGTCACTCAATCCGCGACTGTTTGTGGGATCTTTCTGTGCGCAATTGGCTGCCGCGTTTTGCCCACAAATTATACAGTCAATTCACTTTAAAGTATATTGTGTGAAGCGCTTTGTGACGTCTCGAAGACGTGCTAAGGCGCTATATCAGACGCAAGGGTTTATTATTAACATCATGGCTTAAAGAACAGCCGAGCAAGGCTAAAATCTACATTTTAAATATTTCCCCGTTTTTCTGTGACGGAGACCTTATTGTGCCTTCGAGACGTCTCAAATCGCCGCACAGAATATTGTGTATTTTGTGGGCGAAACTTGGCGCTTGATAGTGGCGGAGCACGACTCCGAGCCGGGGCAAGTGGACTCTGGATGTTGGGTGAGGACAGGATCAAAGTTATTGTGATAGGTGAGACAAAGTCTGGTTATGGGGTGGCACACAGACTGATGTTTGTGCGTTGCATGGTATTCTGTCATGTCACACACTCGAGTCTTTTTGCACTTGAACAGCAAGAGTAAAGACCACCCAATTACAGCTTACTTAGCTTTCGAGAGGATGGGGAGCTGAGCTGCAGTCTGGATGCCCGACGAGTGTGTGTGGGAAGTAATCTGACCCAAGTGAACATGAGCTGTGCCTGTGCATTGCTGAATGCTTATTAACAGCAGCTCGTGTGGTGTGCTCCTGCAAGGGGCAGGAATGTGAGAGCTCAGAAGCAGAGCATCTTCTTTCATTAGACATTGCAACGCTAAACCCAGATGCACAGTTTGCAGTTACATTATCCTGGTATTATCTCTGAATCATAAAGATATAATAATCTTAGCATTTGATACAGTGCCTTCTAATTTCATCGAAACATCTCAAAGCCGGATTTTACTGCCAAGTTCAGTGACTATGTTTTGAAGGCAAACACAGCAGCCAATAAGCGCACAGCATTGTGCCTCAAACAGCCATGAAGTGAATGACTGATTTTATCTGGAGCATTGTTGGCCGGGAAACTGTTTTCTTAGCTATCCATCCAAATGGAAAGCCAGGACCTCAGTTTAACATCTAATACAAGGACGGCACATCAAGCAATGCAGCGTACACCAGCACTGCACTGAAATGTAAGCCTTGACTATCATTTAAAGTTCCAACGAGGGGCTTGAACCAACAACCTTCTGACTTGCAGTTCAGAATGCTGCCAACTGAGCCAGGCTGACGTCTGAATTATTCAGTTCAATCCTCTCAGTCGTTGTAAGAGCATGGGTAGCTCTCTAGTCCATTTAATTTGTTTAGCCATTTACATTATTAAATCCTATTTTCTTTCTTTTTCTGCATATCCTTTAATAATTGTTCAACATAAAACAGTTGCTACACTTGACAATAATTATCTGTGAAGTGCTTTGAGGCTTTTCAATATTAGAGGCAGTATATCAAATGACAGAAAATTATAGGGCCCTTAATACAACCAGCAGTGACCTAAAACTCCTGACAAGCCTCCAGACCAGATTTGAGCATTTCACAACACAGTCTCTCTCTAACTAATGTGATGTTCTGACTCTCGAGTTGAGTCGTTGACATCTACTTCTTTTTCTATCCTTCCTCCTGTCGATCTGTGGAATGAGTTTAGAGATGTGGAGAGCAGTCCTGAAGTTTGTGAGGTTCAACTGGTTGGGGAACTGGGAAGTGCAACCCGCAAAGAAAGTATAACCTTGATTTCACAGCCTTGTTGCCAGGTTGGGAGGTGGGGTGGGGTGGGGGGGAAGAGAACAATAACAACAACAAATTACATGGCGGTTGGGATCAGGAGGGGTGGAAGGCGGGGAGGGTTGAAGAGGAGATCCTGGACAATCTGAGCAGGAGTGGATCTGGTGGGATTCGTGAAACTAAAGTGTGCTCTGCCTCTACGTGTTCTGAGAGTCTAGAGGCTGAACACAGAGGTTCCATTCCTGTATCCCCCAATTCCCAGCAGCAATTTGGTTTACTTCCCGTTTATTTTTCCTCGCTCCCCCCTCCTCCGCCTGCCATTTATTTTTGTTTCGGAAGGAATTTTTTTTTTTCTTTTTAATTAAAAACAATCATCACAGAGATAAATCTTTAGCATTTTAATTGGAATGCTATTTGATTGTTTCTTTTTTTAAAAAAAAGCAGGTATTTCCTGTTTTTTTACATTCTTTCTGTTGTTTCCTGGCTCCGAGCCCCAAGAAAAGTCATAGAATTGTCTCTTCGAAAACTGAATCTGGACGCTTTCAAATCCCCCCCACCACCACCTTCAAAAAAAATAATATGGTTCACATTACGCTCCTGTTTGGACCTTCAGGTGCTGTGTTGATGCTGTATACATACCATGGGAAGCCGGCAGATACAGGACTGCAGGAGGCGTAGGGTTAATAAACAAAATATTCCTTGCGTGCATTTAATATTTGATATAATGCCTTGTAACATTGTCCCATTTCTAATAGTCTTCACAGGTAAAATTAGATGTCGTGACTTTTTTTTGTAGGCGCCCTTGATAGTCGATTTGCACCAGCGGAGAACCGTCATTTTTTTGTGGGTCAGCCGTGTGTTAGACACATGCCAAAAACCCAAGGCGCTGCATAGTTGGGTCATGACCCGAGCAGGGGGGAAATGGTCAGGGTGAGGGGAGGGGAGGGAGCGAGGAGGGGGGAAATGGGGTAGTAGGTCGGAGAGGTAGGAGGGAGCAAGGCCGTGAATGGCCTTGTAGGTGAGGATGAGGATCTTGAATTCGATCCTCTGGGGGATGGGGAGCCAGTGGAGGCGAGCGAGGGTGGGAGTGATGTGGTCCCGAAGCCTGGTGCGGGACAGTACACGAGCTGTAGAGTTCTGGATGACCTGCAGCTTGTGGAGGGAGGTGGCGGGAAGGCCGGCGAGGAGAGAGTTCCCATAGTCCAGCCTTGAGGTGACAAAGGCATGGACCAAGGTTTCAGCAGCGTGAGGGGTGAGGTAATGGCGTAGTCTGGCGATGTTCCGGAGGTGATGGAAGGCGGTGCCAGTTGTGGTGCGGATGTGAGGGAGAAAGGACAGCTCAGGGTCGAACAAAACGCCGAGGTTCCTGACTGGCTTTGAGAGGTGGAGAGTGCGGCCTTGGATGCTGATGGTGTCAGCGCCTGAGGTGCGGAGGCGCTGACGTGAGCCAATCAGGAGGGCCTCGGTTTTTCGCACGTTGAGCTGAAGAAAGTTGTCTCTCGTCCAGGACTCGATGTCGGACAGGCAGCTGTCAGGGCATCGGTGGTCGTGGAGTTGAGAGTAGAGGAGGAAAGGTAGATAGTGCCCCTCATGCAGGGGAACGTCCCAGAGTGCTCTACATGTCAGACCAGACATTCCATATTTTCACAGTAACTTCTCTTTGTCTGGAGTCGAGATACAGAAGAGAGACCCTTGCAGGAACTTGACATGTAGGACCTATTAGCCCAGAGTGGGTGGTAGGAGCCATGACTTGGGCACTACAGAGTGGGTGTGATGGTAAAAAAAATTAATAATAATAATCCTTGCATTTGATATTATCCCTTTCATGGCAGGAGGACATCTCCCTCGGCTTCACAGGAGTTATAGTAAAGTGTAGTATCTGTGTATTTTATAGGCAAAGACAGCAGCCATAGTGCTGTCTCAAAAACTGCCTGAATAGGCCATGGGAACTTTAACGTGCCCTTGAACAGGCAGATGGGACCTCGGTTTAACGTCTGATCTGAAGGACAGCACCTTTGACGATGGTCACCAATCTCTTTCTCTCCCTTCTTGCCCCCCCCTCCCCCCCGCCCCCCAACCCCTTCCCCCAC